CCCCCCCGATTCCCCCTGCCCCGGGTATTGTGATCCTCTCGGTCGGGTGGACCGAGCTGACCGACTTAGCGGGAACGCGAGTTCAGTTACGGAGATTTCCTCGGGGGATTTAACGCCTCGCGGCTCCTCACGGATTGGATAAAAGGGATCATCGGCGTGAGCTTGAACCCCGGTTGAATCGTGGTTAAGGCCACGGCGACAAACCGCTTTCTTTTCAACCGGGTTAACCGGGGGGAAGGGAAGGGACGGGACGGCGAACCGATGACTGAATCATCTTCTTCGTCTTCCATCGGGAATCGAAATTATACACTTGCCTGTGCTTTGCGATAACGAGAGTGGTGCGATCTTGAGATGATCTTGTTCCATCTTGTTCATATTCATCGATTAGTTATTAATTAGATTAATCTGATTCGATGATGATTCGTTAATCGAGTTATTATTTTTTGTGAAAGGGTGAAAGAAAGTTAGGGGAGAATAAGATATTTTTTTTTTTTTGGATCGTTTGGTATGTATGAAATCAGATAATGATAAACTTGATGCATTGTTGTCGAGTTGTTTAAGTAAAATTAATAGATCACTTCATTTGATCACAATCAAATTTTTTATCTTATATCTGTATGTATATATTTAATTGTTTTAATTCAGTCAGTGTGATAGGATTTGGAAAGAATTTCGTTAATATTTAATGAGATTGAAAAAGCTCAATTATTGTGAACGTTTTCATGTTTTGATACAAGGATTAAAATAGTAATAATAATCACCAATTACTTAATCACATCCATTGCATAAGTAAAAAGATTTACATTTACAATATATGATACACGTTCAATCTCATAATTCTGATTCGAGAATTTTAAATAATAATAAATAATAATAACAGTGTCTTTTATGTAGATTACAATATTAGTACTGGAAAGAAATTTCGTGGAACAAGTGACAATCCTGACACCACACGCTGAATAGTAATAGAAAAGCTACAATTTGAACATTCAAAAAATCGTAAAAATTATTTTCGATTTACGAAGTTACATTAAGATAATCATCCAAGAACTGAAATATTATATTTTATTACCTTAACTCTTAAATACAAAATTATACATTTACAAATTAAACTATCGTCAAAAATCGTAAATTATTATTTATATTACCTCGATACACGATTAGAATTCTTATAATTCTATGCCTATTAAACCATCGAGCTTTAATAAATACACAGATCGTCGTTTTCGATTACTATCCTGCGAGGCCAGTGAAGCTTTACATTACACGAAACGAGAATCAAAATTTTCATGCTTAAAAACTTGCTTATCATTGAATTATCGAGAGGAAATCGATCGAAAAGTACTACAACGTTATAAAAGTTGGATACGTAAATACGTGGCCGCAAAGAACGAAAACTCGACGAGCGTGTCTCGCCAAAGTACCTAGAGGAGAGGGGATAGGTTGATCGAAAGGGAGGAGGGACGATAATGTCGGAGCGACGTCCCGCGGCGCTAGACTGTGACTAAATCCGCGGTGCCCATGCAGTGTTTACACTCGAGATGATGCCTCCTAATGCTAATACGCGGTCTCCCGTACCGGTCTCCATCTCTCTCTCTCTCTCTCTCTCTCCCTCTCCTCTCTTCAGGTTTCTTAATGCTCAATCGCAATCCAATGAAAAGTGTATGAATGGCAAGCGATTATCAAGTCGAACGGTCGGCCTCAATGTGTCCGACGAGGCGTCCGCGGCAACCCCGCTGCGTTAACCGACGTCCAATCCGGACCAAATGCCACGAATTCGCTTTCCCTCTTTCCCTCTCTTTCCGCCCGATCCATCTCCTCTTTTGCGTCTCGCTTTTCGCTCTCTCTCTCTCTCTCTCTTCGTCTTCGTCTTTTCTCGAATTGTCTTTATTATTATTATTTTTTTTTTTTTGGATTTAATACTCGTTGTTTGAAATTTGAATGAATGAGGGGAAATAAGAAGTAATTAAGTAATTATTATTATCGTTGGAATGGAATGGCGATTTTGAGCAAGTATGGGCATTAATCAGGAAGGATCGTTTCTTGGTAATGACTTTATCTGAAATGGTTAAATAACAAGATTTATTTGTACGATGATAATTGATCCTGTTCTTTTTTTGATTATTTATTAACGGATCGAAAGCACGAATAATGGAAACGTTAGAGGGAATACGAAAATTCAATTTATTTCCACGAGATATACGTAAAAATATACATCTCTCTGATTAAATTCGTAGATTCATCGAGGAAAATATCTCCTTGGCCAAGAATAATTATTCCGCCGATTAACCGACCAATCAAAGACCGATCGAGAACCTCCTTCCCTCCCTCCCTCCCTCGAATTGAACGAAAAGCGAATATCTCTGTTGTGCGCGATCTCGTTCGTTCGAAAAGGAAGGAAAAAAAAAAGGAGAGAGAAAAAGAGAGAGAGGGGAAAAA